ATATATATATATATATATATATATATATATATATATATATGTGTGTGTGTGTGTGTGTTAAAAGTCAGGACGGGGAATATTTATCCATTTTGCTTCATCCATAACGGGAAAGGAAAGTTCATCGAAGTGTTTTGAAATGAAGTGAAGGACACCACATATACGTCACGTGTGCAACTGGCTTATCACCAGCACTGCACACAGTGAATTCGGTACTTTCACCTTACTGTTTGAATTTTGGCCTATGTTTTTTGGGGAGGGGACAAACATTGTTTCTTCATTGATCTTACTTTGGTTTCACTTTTCAGGAGATGTCATAATATCGGTTTCTTTGTCCTGTCCACCTACTGGGGAGCAGTTTCAATTGGATTTGACACCGTTCTTTGAACGGTATAAATCGGCACACAAAACCAAAGATGCTACGGACACGCCACCTGAGGAACAGGAAGAGAATATTGCCAACGCCTAAACTAGTTCTCTTCGCTCATCCCTTACCTTTGATCCTCGAGCTTTTCTCGAACAAACTATTTGTATATATATACATATTCTTGTAAAGCCTGATTTTGAGTAGAATCAAATGTAAATTTTTAAATATCCATGTATATCATTTTATTCATTCCTTCCAATTGGGTTTATGTTTCGGGTTTGTTTTGAGGGATCAATAGCTCTTCACTTCCTTGCACCATTGTTGGTTGTTGCCGTTTAGTGACCGAATAACAGGTAATCAGTTTCGGAGCGTTCCCGACTGAGTCGTAATCTCTGGTGCTAAAGCTAAGTTGAGCTGGGTTAGGTGCTCACAACGAGCTTGCAACTATGGCTTTTACTGTCTTTCTCGCGTATAGACAGAATAAAACAGCTACTCGACGGTCACGTGAGTAGTATAGTCCCGGGTTTGTGATCCCCGACTAAGTGGACGGGTCCGCATTCTTGATGAAAGTCAACTAAACTACAAGATGGTTTTCACTTTGTTAGTTAGTGTTTCTCTTGCCCGATGTGCGACAAAATTCATCATCTGATAGGACTTAATCCCCTCTCCTCCCTCGGTCTTGAGAAAATTGCATAACCTGACAAAACCGTGAAAATTTCGTTGATTTTATCATCAGTTTTCAGTCTTTGAGCGAAACACATTTCCAAAATTACAGGTCATTTTGTATGGATGATCCAATATGCAGAAAGGAATTCCGCGCATTGGGAAATAAATGGATTCTCGTTTTTTGAACCAGCTTTTCCCGTGATAAATTTGAAAAGAGATACCAGTATGGCAACACTGACGCTCTCAATATCCAGGTTGGACACACTCCCGGCAGTAGGTTCTCCGTGGACGGGCTTCTAAGCAACGTGCCATGCAGGAAAGATACAAAATTAACCATGAACCCAAAGATCCAGTGAGATATGCACACGACTCGCACTCAATTCAAAATAGCCCGACCCGTTCCTTCACCACAGTAGAAGATGATGGTTACTTTCATTATTTGTGGTTCCCGGGCAATCAGTTTGCCTTGACATGATCTGTCTTCCGCTGTAAATGTTGGAACAGTTTAAAGTTCTTCTTGTTCGCTTACCCAAATGTACCGGTAATAGGTAGCGTCAGTTGCCTCTTTGAAAGTCCGTACGCGTTGACTTTCATCTATACTGGAGATAATCTACTCATTCATTGTCATCTCGTTCCGATGGTATTCCCCCCGTTTGAAAGAACGCGAAACCGGAGAGGCAGATCACCAGGAACTCGCTCGTCTGTAAACTGTGATTCTGAATCACCAACAAAGTGCATGAACGGCACCAAGACTACTACGTTTCTAGTCACCCATCCGATAAGGTGATTGGTGTGTGTGTGAGACAGTGGGTGTGAGAACTCGTTAGTCGTCCATGTTGTCATCCTTATTGACCTATTTTCCTCAGCTTCCTGTGTGCTGAATGAACTGAACACAGTGACTCACTGACTGAGGAATATTTGCTCAATGACACCACATTTGTGCACTCTTTGACTGTAAATGCAACTGGATCAATTCTAACCACTGTCACTGTGAACTATAGTCCAATACCCCTGAAGCTTGTAACACCCAAGACCTTCACAATTTCCTTTTCCCGTCTAGTATATTGATCGGAAAAGAAATTGTCTCAAAAGAACATTAGTATGGTAGTCGTCATGGCTGAGCGATTACCCATGTGCGAAATTGGTTCGGGGTCAGGACTGACCCCCATCAATGGTCTTTAGTGTTGACACATCAATTCCGTTCAGTACGTATAACCATGTACTTTCGTGTGCCGGTTTTGGTTCTTGCTCATTTGAATGAAAGAGTAGAAGAAAGATTTGTTTGTCAATCGAGTCCTCTGTATACGAGCTGACACTTCATTCGTGATGTGTTCACCGGGTGAGACATATCTGTCCAAATAATAAACATTGCCAGAAATCGGTTCTCGTTCACATGAGATAGCATTCTCATTGAGACACATAGTTCAGTTGAATATTTCACGAACTGTCCTACATTTCGTAATGTTACAACAATAATCACTGACCTCTCATTGATGCATCCACTATATCCGTAGCTTCAGCTTCTCTGCTCAGTTAACAACTCTCACGGTTAATGAAAACACTTACCGTTCGCTGGGAGCTAGATACGGTTCAGCTGCGTAGCACATTGACATTTCTTGAAGAATTAGACCGAGGATAGAAATGCTTACTTTTTGCGATAGCTGAGGCTAGCGTCACATCATGCAACTGAACGATGAGGTTACACTGCTGTCAAGCAAACGTCTTCGATTGATTTTACTGCTATTCCTGTCTCCTGTGATAGATCTTCGTGCGAAGATAGTGGCATCGATTTACTGTGCTAAATAAAGATCCAGGTAAGTTGCAAGCATTTCTGGATAATTTGAATGCCAGTGTAGCCATGTTCGGTATGCGTTTTGCACCTTCTAAGTGTAAAATGTTGTTATAAGATTGAGTTAGTCCAGCACCCAGCCTCACTTTTACTGGGGAAGTAATAGAGTGGGTGGATAAGTTTTGTTATCTGGGTAGCTACATCTCACCCGGTGGATGCATCACGGATGAAGTATCAGCTCGCATACAGAAGGCTCGGTTGGCATTTGCCAAATTGAGGTGTCTGTGGCGCCGTCGCCACATCCGGCTGTCTGTGAAGGGTCGAGTGTATGCCGCGACAGTTCGGCCAGTTCTGCTATATGGAGCAGAAACCTGGCCATTAAGAAAACAGGATAAAGAGAGACTGTCGGTGTTTGAACTACGCTGTTTATGCGGTATTGCACGAATCTGGTTGGGTAACCAGACGTGCTATACTGAGGTCAGGCGAAAAGTTTTAGGCAACCGTGGTCGACCTCCATAGATTACGTTGGTTGGGGCGTGTTACGCATTTCATCAAATAGATTTCCACGGCGAGCGACGTTTGCCGAGGCCGGTAGTGGGTGGAATAAATAAGGCCCAGGGTGGTCAAGTAAAGACCTGGCACGAGGGTATGAAAACCCTAACCGGGAGTCAGGGTCACATAGGTCCCGTTGGGCTCGCTTGATGGGGACCTCGGGATGATGGTCACCGGTGGTTAGAAACACTGTGTGATATGGCTGGGTGTCGTAAACAGTGGAGTTCATGCATCTTCTCAATTTCTCTGCTTCATTAGTCCGCTGAACTTTTCGATTGTCTCTTCGATCCTACTTTCAACCATTCGTGTCTTTCTCCCAATGTTCATCCAAATGGCAACCCAAACCGGCGCACGATAGTGCATGGTGAGTGTTTGCACAAACTGAACTGAACCAATTTTCGTGTTTCCTACAGCCTATACGTAGGATGTGTGAGCGCATTCTCTCAGCGGACAAAAACAAACACACTATTCATCATTTAGACAATGATGAATGTGTATCATCCATCCTGCACCGTCACAGTGACTGCCTCGCAAGTTGGTCTATTTGTACATGTATACACATTCTTTGATTTCATCCTCAGTCGATCATCATCAGATTTAATTTATCACATGTTCCTGGCATGCACGGCGTGTCTGAAACCTCACGCCCGATACTGACCCAGCTTATCGGCTGATCCAGAACGTTCTGCACACGATTTTGTGGTGATCAGATCGAAGCGAGTGGATTAAAATGGCGTCACGTTACCAGTAATGCATGCACAAACGCATCGAGATGAGAGCTCACTCAAGTCGTGACTCGTCCACTCTGCACACTGACCCAACCATAGTTTATGTTCACCGTGTTGTGCCCATTAGAGAACATGTGCACGACTCAAATGAGGGATCGAAACAGAACAGAAAGGATCGCTGTCAAATCGGTGGACGGGACGGGACGGGGGATTGCGAGAGTACTGATAATTTTAATGAGTTCACAGATATGTTCTCTGCCGCTTTACTAAATTACGTAGACTCTTCCCTCAGCTGAATGCACCTGATCCCAATCAATTTGCCTACCGCAGTTCCAGGTCAACCATTGATGCGTTCGCATCCCTCACTCATTATATCTCTTCCTCCTTGGACAGGAAATGTAGAGCTGTTCATGTATGTTTCTTTGATTATAGTGATGCCTTTAATTGTGTTGATAGGTCCAAACTTCTTCAC